GCGATGCGGATGAACTGAAGAGCTGACGCCGCTGACTAGTGAGCGTAACCAAGGCACAGCCGGCCTTCCAGCCAGGTTCGACCCCGATGCAGAATAAGAAACGGTATCTCGGTGCGCCGTATCCCCTTCTGCCTGCTAAACCTGTTCGCCTGACGTTCCGCACCCCGAAGCGTACAACATGATCGGCGTCATCGAAGCGACCGACCAGGACACACACCACATTGTGAATGTCGAGTTCCACGACAGATCGGCCCGCAAAGGGTACCACTTCACCGACCATTTCAAATATGACCTGGCCTCCCTCGGTACGTCGACGTTGCTCCAGCCGTTGAATCGTCTGAGAGTGGGCCACCATCTGAACAGGCGAACGCGGCGCGGTGTACGCCTGCCAGCCGGAGAATGACCATCCCGCCCATGTGCTATACAAGCCCTACGGCACCTGGGCGTCCCAGAGCGAATGGACGTACGACCTTCCAAAAGGCACAAAGGCCTTGGGCGTGGCTGCGGGCGGGGCCCCGCCAACAAAGTCCCTGCGCGAGAAGTCTGATGCGGATCTGCAAGGAAATGGGAATGTGGTGATCGCCACAAGCGAGAACGAGCTCATATTCCTGACGGGCACGGGTATTGAGCGATATTGCTTGAGCCTGCAGGGCGATTTTATATCGATGGTCGCGGGCCCAGAGTGGGTATTTGTGGTGCATCGGGACGGTGCAACGACGATGGACGGTTGGTTCGCGATTTCTAGGTGATGAAGTCGTATCTGACGACGCATTCTCTCAGGCTCCCAGAATTTGACCGGTAGGCTCATTAAATTCGACGACTACTGCTTGCTCCAGAAAGACACTTTACCTGTTCCGAAACGCCAGACGCTCAAGTGGGTTGGGATCACGGAGGAAGGAGTGAGTGCCCCCTTGCCATGCTCGGATATACTGAACGAATCGCAATTCGAGGCTCCGGCAATATATGACTCTGCGGGTGTGTTGAACATCCTACCCCGATTCCGGCTTCCATTCTCCGCTACGTGGGCACGGGTCCTGAATACCGAATTGCTGGAACGGCGCGAAGGGAAACAAGAATCATACTGGCCTGTTGGTGTCACCGGCGATATCTTCATGTGTCTTATACTCAAGGTATATCATTTGCTGTCGCATTGAGGATTCCGACTGACTCGGTTCCCCAGGGACGACAAGAGTATCCCGAGTTCCCCAGACCGCTGATTCAGGAGTTGCCATTGCGTCTGCCTTTCCACCGTACGGATCCCCAGGAGGCTCCATTGGAAGAACAGTGAGCGACCTGGTGATTTCTCATAACGGTTCAGCCTGACCCCCCTTCCAGTCTCGCACGCGAGACAATGCTCCTCGACATCCTGCGCGACGGGCTGGACGACGAGCTGACCACCGACGACATCTCGCGCCGCGAGCTCACGCTCGACAAGGAACTCGTCCAGCTCATCCAGCTCGCGTGCAAGGCCGACCGCCACAGCCGCGCCCTCGACCTCGCCCGTCTCCTCCACCACACGGCGTCCTTCGACATGGCCATCAAGGTCGCAGGGTTCTACCACATGATCGGCCTCCAAGAGAAGCTGGAGGCCCTGAAGGACGACCGCGACGGCGCGGACCGCCTCGGCGACGCCCGCGAGCAGCGGAAACAGCGCACGCGAGACCTCGCGCCCGTGCCTGCCCCGCGCACGTTCGCAGAACCACAGCGCCCGAAGCCGTTCCAGGACTTCCGCCCGCCGCCTGCGATGCACCGCCCGGGGCTCGAGCGCGCGACGCCTGTTGCGGATCCCTTCAGAGGCGCCGCCAGCAGCTCGGCGAACGCAGGGATGAGCAGCCAGTTGTCCGCGGACACCGCGGCGTTCGGGTCGTCGTTCGGCGAGAACACGATGGATACCGACTTCTCGTTCTCGTCCCCGGACGGGAAGCGCAAGAGAGTGGAGGAGAACGAGCCTGTGCGGGAGACGCGGTCGCCGGGGATAGACAATCCCGCGAAGCGTCGTGTTGTCGGAGACATTGGCGCGCCGCAGCCAAGTATGTCCTTCTACCTGGGCTCTCGCTAATTTATCCTGACAGTGCTATAGGGGGGAACCCATTCGCGCGCAAGGCCGGGACGGATGCTGGCCGCAACCCGTTCGCCAAAAGCGTCGACACGAACAAATCGCTTCACAAGAGCGACAGCTTCTTCGCCAAGGTCGATGCTGCGGAGTCTGACCACGCAACCAGTATGTGATGCACGCTCTCGTGTATATTGTATGCCGCTTGACATCTGAGGTGTGTAGGACCTGTACCGACGAAAGGCAAGACGAAGGAGAAGAAGACTGCGGGGCAGCAGATCACGCTGTTCGGGAAACCTGTCCCTCCACCGGAGAAGCCTGAAAAGAAAGCCCCGGGCCGGAAAAAGAAGGTTGCACAGCCAGAACAAGAGGCTGCGTCAAGTGCGAAGAAGGCAAATGACAATCCAGATAACGTCGGCGTATCGAAGACACAGGAGACGGATGTTACGATGAGTGAGTCAACGTCGACCTTGGTCGAGACACAGCCTATAGGTGCCGACGAAACCCAAGAGTCCATGTATGTGGAGAGCACACAAGAGTTGCTTGACGATAACGATGGGGGCACACATTCCAAGGAAGGGGTTGAGGTGAGCACGATGGTGATGTCTACTCCGTCCTGCATTGAGCTCGATACGGAGCAGGAATCTGGGGGCCCACCATCACCGCCGCCGACTGCTACTGGTTTGGTGTCTGTTTCTGCAGAATAATTGTCTCGTGCGCGTGATGTCCTGTATCCGATAGAACAAATCTCTGACATGCCTGTCCAATTTGAGTGTCTGCGGACCCGGTTCACATGATTTTCCGTTTGAACATGTCTAAGGCCTCAAGGACATGCGACTTTCATATTCACGTCCGATCTCATACCAAGTGTTGACGTGTCCTGATAGTTGGACGAGCAATATGAATGTGGGAAGGGGGAAGGGCTTAATCAGAGCTCTTCGGGACTTCAGGTGAGTGTTGCTACTACTCGACCTTCGACACGTTAATTACCACCCCGTGCTGCAGCGCGCGACTATACGGACAGGCCTGTGCGCAGAGCATACCGCATACCAGTCAGCACGAACTAGCCCTACTGTTTCGACTGAAGAGCCCGCACCTCGTGTCCGGCTTTGATCAGGTCGTCATCTGGGACGCCTTCGACCTGGATGCTCACTTGCAGCCCAAAGCCTGGCATGTCGTTCGCTTGGCCGAGGTGGACCTCGGTGCGGATCACTGCGTCTCGCGCCATGTCCGCCTTTCCCGCCTTTCCCGCGACCATTTGTAACGCGCCGAGAAAACACGCTGCCGCACGCTTTAGGATCGCGCTATCTAGAAGGGTGGCCCAGACTCACAGGCATAGCCCATCGCGAAGAGCTGCTCTGGGTTGTTTCCGTCGCCTTTGCCTCCCATGGCCTTGGGCGAGGCGAGCTTCAGCTCAAGGCTGGTATCGTCGTCGGACTTGACTGTCCCGTTGCGGCCCGCACCTTGCGCGGTCGCATATGCGGTATACTAGTGTGTGCATGAAATTCGTCTCGTTGGCGTTGGCAATTGGTGCAGGCTTACTACATGGTTCTTAAGTGTCATGATCGTCCGAGCAGGACGATGGAAGCTGTTCAGCTTCGGGCGTGCGAGTCTAGCCGTAGTTGGCGCAGCATATCTGGTGACGTTACGAAGCATGATCCTCGATGTTGCAAGGATGGTGGTACTGATGGAGAGATGGGTGAGGTTCCCTCGGGTTGGGTTGCTTTTGACATAGCATACGAGTCGAAATGAGTAGCTTGGTGATACTCCATCGCGGTCTTCCATTCCCACCTGCCCGTGACTCCGCTTACAAGTATGTCTTCCCTGAGAGATAACTCGGTGCACGCCCTGCGCGTGGAGATAGGGCAAGAGACAGTGGTATGTTTATCCTGTGCAGAATATGTCATAAACTTATATTGGATGCCTACTAATCAACTCCTCCGTTCTTTCCGAATGCCAACTGTGACCCGCCCATTTTGAACTCCTTAGGCCTTCGAGACGTTCACGACGATTCCGTGCTTCAACGCGCGACTGTACGGGCATGCCTGATTGCGGAATGATATGCAGACTCATCAATACTTCCTTACGGGGCTGGTAGCGTCAATACGAGAACTGACCTCATGGCCCGCCTTGATGAGCTCCTCATCTGGCCCTCCCTCAACGCGGATGTCGACTTCGAGACCAAAGCCGTGCATATCCTTGGGCTGTCCAAGGCGCACTTCCGTATGGACCACCGCGCTTCGCGCCATGTCGGTCTTGCCCATCTTTCCTGCAACCATCTGCAGCGCGCTCAGGAGACACGCTACGGAGTGCTTCAGGATCGGCTCTCCGCGAATCATAAAGGCTGAGCGCACCTGCATACCCCATTGCAAACAGCTGCTCCGGGTTCTGCCCATCACCCTTGCCTCCGAGGGATCTGGGCATTGCGAGGCGCAGCTCGAGTCCGTCGTCGTCGTTGGACTTCACCTGGCCGTTGCGACCTTGCCCTCGCGCTGTTGCGTGGGCTGTGTACTGCTCGCGACAAGCTCAGATTGAGGTCGACATTCCTTCGTGAATAGCTCACTTTGTGGTCCTTGAGTGTCATCAGCGTTCGCATGGGCCTGTACAACGGCGGCGGCGGACGACGAGACAAGGCCTGAGCCACAGTTTTCGTAACGTTTAACATGACGAGGATTTGGGTGGAGAGCGGACGTCAGCCTGGAGGGTGGAAGACTTGCATCCTGGGGATTCGATTCAATTTATGTGCGCTTCCGTTTGACATCGCCTTGTCTAACTTGGAAGGGGCAAGTTCGACATGACGTCAATCCGATTTTATGTCGCCGCGCGCACCGATTAACGTTGGATTTGTCCTAGTCATCTCAATACTCTGAAGCTTGCAATTGGGAGATACCTGCATGCAGCACGCAGGAACCACGACTCGGAAAACTGCAGCGAAAAAGAGAAAAAATGAGTCGGCCCAGGTTCGAACTGAGGACCTTCTGTGAACGTCGTGTTAGACAGATGCGATAACCAACTACGCCACCGACCCAATAACACAATTATTTCCTGTGATATCATGAGCAGAATGATGGTTACTCCAAGCTCAGATTTCCTTCGAAGACAATGGATCAGTCAATTCATTGTCCATCGGTCAGAGCATGCGAAGGATATAACATGTTCTTTGTCCTATTGAAGAGACAAATACAAGATCGCGTCGCCCTGTGGCTACAGCCGCCACTTCTCCCTTCTCACCACGATCGACGGTCGAAATGGCCGCAAGCTCTGAAGACACCACCTCCTACGCGCGCACGGGGCCGTCAACTATGCCCGAAATAGTACGGCGGGCTCTCTCGCGCGAAGCCTCGAGCCTAGGACCATCAGCTGCCAGTGGCCACTCACAGAACTCCAACATGCCGCGTCGCTGGACTTGGAAAAGCGGAGACGGCGTTGAATGGTCCATTCAAAGACGGCCCTCCTCCTGGGAGGACAACCGGGATAGAAATTCACCTGGACAGCCACTAGCCACACCGGGACCTCGTCTGAGGAACGACGGATCAAACGAACGCGGCTCGGACGCGTACACGACGCCGCGACGGCCTGAAAATCGACTCGGACTAGACAGAGGCGTCTCGAGCCAGTTTGGAATGCCTCCACAAGGCAATCTCCCAAGTGGCCATAGTGTTCGTATTCTGCCAACAGGAGAAGATTCGACTGCACAGGTACCTGGCATGCATCTGGTCGGCGGGCTTCCACAGAATCCAGCATTTGGAGAGCAATCGAGCGGCGGGGCCTCACATAGACCTGTGTCCAGTGAGCATCATCGTATGTGCAATTGAAAATGCAACTCGCTCATAACCTAGAAGCCCCAAGGTTCTCCGGTGCAGAAGCACACCAGGTAGTGCAGAAGCACGCCGTACTCGACAGATACCTCAAGGGCTTGGACAGAGAGCAGTGGAGGACATGTCCGAACGCTCTCAGTTTGAGATCTACAATCCACAGCGTAGTAAACAGCATTAACCCCGAGATTCAACTCGAGCCTGAGGTGGAAAAGGTACATGCAACTCACTACGCACCTGTGACCGTGTTCATAACGACCCCTTCGCAGCTTCTGGTTGACATTGCGGATGAGTTTATCGAGTCCGTCGCCGACTTTGGTTGTCGTCTCGCTCAACATCGAGGAAGCGATACGCTAGAAGTTAAGGACCTCCAGCTGCATCTTGGTAGATCTTGCACAAGTTGTGGACCTCATTGTGATGCAGCTAACATGGTACTTGCAGAGCGTAACCTCGGGATCCGCATACCAGGTTTCTCCTCGGACATGATACCGATGTCCCAATTCCAAGCCGTGGTACCTGCTGCAACGTCAGGCGCCGCAGCCAAGGGACCGAAGATGGCTATGAATCAGCCCCTGACCCTCCGCGAACAGCGTATGGCACAAGTCCAAGATGAGAAGGACGAGCTGGCGCGTGAACGTGCTGAAGAAGCTGCGCGCAGGAAGAGGTTCGATCAGGTGGACAGTTCAGGTGTGCAAAGACGGGTTCAGTAGAGGTGATTATTAGCATCCCATTATGCCGTTTGAGACCTGTAGAAGCATTCTTGTCTTATCCGATGCATATTCGATAAAATGAGGAACATCAAATCGAGAAGTGACTCACGTATTCATTTCCCGCACGAACTGAGGTCATTTAACATACTAGTTGCCTGCAATGTTCGCTAGCATCATTCATGACAAGTTTTCCGCCGTGACACCCTGTTCACCGGTATATCTACCAGCGCACCAATATGTCCTCGGAAAGACTGGCTTACGCACCCATTAACATCGAACATTAAGCCTACAACCCAGTGGGTTCGTTCGTAATGCGAGGGAGCTTTTGGGTTCAGCATTCCGAACATATAAAGGACTCAGATGAATACATGGAGGATACAATATTGCTCAAGGAGCAGTTCATGACAGAACAAAGGCTGTCCCAAATGTGGCCAACCGTATATGCAGTGCACGTGATTTTGATTGAGGCTGCTCTTGTTCTTCCGAATCTTCGCCTCCTCGACTCGGACTCGCCCACTGCTGCGTGCTATCGTATCCTCTTCTTCTCTGACTCTGACCATTGTTTGCAAAAACCGACTTTCTTCTGTCTCTCGAGTGTTCCGTGCGCACTCTTTGTGAAGATGACTACTTCACTGGGCGACGCAAACCCGTTCTCCGCAGTGCGGACGGCGGGGACCATCCATTCACTCCCGGACGACGTCCTGCTGCTCATCATCAGTTTCGTTGACGTACGGGACATCCTAGCATTGCGCAAAGTGAGCATCGCACCGTATACTCCACTAACCCGCCCCGCTCGCACTGACTTGAGTGGCTCAGACGTCGAAGCGCCTCTACTCCATGACGAAGCTGCGCTGGGTGTGGTCCGACGCGATGAAGCGCCATGTCATCGACAAAGGCCTGCCCGTGCCTGCTGCAGACGCGGACATCAAGGCGTTCTCCGCGGAGCACCTTGAAGCGCGGGCGGTACATGCGGCGCGGTTCCACGAGAACTGGTGCTCGCCTGCGCCGCGCCCTCGGCGCACGCTCGAGTTCAACGCGGATAGGACGCTGCCGGAAGAACTGCCAGAGCAGCACCGCGGCACGATCGACAAGGTGCTCTTCCTTGCAGGGCGCAACGGCGAGTTCCTCGTGACCGTGACGGGGCGCGTGATTACGTGCTGGGAGGTGCCCTTGGACGGGTCGGGCGCGTACCGCGTCGCGGAGTGGATAAGCGGGAAGCGGGTCGAGCAGGTCATCGCGAACGAGGACCCGAAGAGCGAGGCGGTGCTCGCGTTTGTGACCGGCGAGGCGGCTGAGTGAGTGTCGCACTCCTTCGCGTAGAGGCGGTGTCACCTACCTCGGTTCTTCTAGGCAGCACATCGTGGAGGTCACTACGCTGTCATTGGACAAGTTCCATGGGCGCTTCGCGATGCAGTCGAAGCTGCGCGGATTCCGCCACACGGTGCTCCCCTTGCACACCATGCAATGCGACTACCTCGTCTTCGGCGACCCGCTCCTTGCCTGGTTCTGCAAGCCGCCTGTGGAATGCAAGACTTTGACTAAGCTGCCGATGTCGTTGTTTCCCGATGTGAGCATTGCGTCGCTCACAGATGGTGCCGTTGTTGACCGCATCATATTGTAGGAATCCAACAAGATCTTGGCGGTCAGACCGGTCCACCGCTACATGGTCGTTGTGCGGGAGCACGCCATCCAAATTGTCTATGCCCCTCTCTGGAATGGCGAGCGCGCCCATTACGCCGGCAACATCAGCGCATGCGTCCACATGGACTACGGCGCCAAGAGTGCGTCCATCATTGTGCGGACCCCCAGTGGCGAAGAGTCGGCAGACTGGCCCTCGGAGCCTGTGACGATCCTGCTGCGCTGCTGCCCGGAGGACGGGTTCAACACTCTGCGGCAGCTCGACCTGCTGCCCGTCCCGAGGGCGCAGCGCATGCAGGAGTCCGGGTCTTCCACGGGCCAGAAGAAGGGCATATTCGATCCGCCGTGCATCCTGCCGCCTGGGGAGACGAAGTCGTTCGTCGTTGCGCCGTCGGCGTGCAAGCTGCAGGTCGGGCCCAGCGGGAAGGGCTTCTGGATCCAGACGCGCAACGTGACGTCGCGCCACTCTATGTACCCCGCGCGCTGTCTCTCTGGATTCTATGTCACGACCGCGAGCGAGCGCAGCACGGATGACGATGACCTGAAGCAGAAGGACGAGGTGCAGGAAATCGAGCGGCCGATCACACATCCGTATGCGAAAGGCGGAAATGAGCTGCATTTGTGTGGGACGCTGTGGTCGCGGCGGTGTCGATATGAGCGAGATTCTCTGGAGGAAGTATTCGATTACGACAGCGGCGCTGGAAGACACCGTTGGGCGGATTGCGGTTGGAGACCGGACTGGGCGGGTGGAGGTGTTAGATTTCGTGTGATGGTATGAATGTTGTTGTCTGTACTTCTGTACTCGCAGTGTATGAATACGTTTGGACCGGTGGATACGCCGCAGAGCAACTTATATATATTCTGCCCGGGCGTAGAACAATAGAGGATGTCCTCTTTTGGTAAGCGGGTATGTGCCTGTACACACGGCCACACAACCACTCTCTCACTCTGTCCGATATCATCACCCGAGATTCTCTGAACTTTCACCCTCCTCCGTTCCGTCCTATCCTCGGACATAACGGTGAGTAGTCCCACAATATGGTGGGGCCCCGCGATTGACCAACCCGTGGCCGGCAGTGCCCTGCGCCAGGCGGGCATGATACTAAATGGACAATATCTTCGCCATTGGTGTTGGTCTTGTCCTGCGCGCAGTCATCGACAATGTTACACACCATAACTTCAGAGTCAACGGCTCGCTCGTCGGTCTCTGGGAAGGGGCCGTCCTCCACCATTTTCTCGGCAAATTTCCCTCTTCATTCGACCCTTATGTTGCGTTCGGGTTCCGCCTATTCGTCGATCTGCTTTTCACCGAGAGCCTGACGCAAACAACCATCGTCATACTATGGACCGGGCTCGGCATGGTCCTTTCCGACGTCAGCGTGGATGTGTGGGCCGACAAACGGATTCGAAGGGTATGGCGCCGTGTTCGACCCTACGTGCCTTCGTTCCTGCTCTCCACATCCTCACCTCCCAGTCGTTCGACTTCGCGCGTCCAGTTCTTCGAGGTGCCGAGCTCATCATCCACCACCACTGCTCGCAGTCCTGGCGCTCCACGCCCACCTCGACCACCACACCCCCCTCCCGTCGCTACGAATCGCCGCGTGTCCACCCGCCCAATACCCGGCTCCTTCTCTGAACATTCCGAAGCAGAGACCGAAGTCAGCCAGGCGCGCCAGCAAGCTCGCACTCCCTCGGAGCTGGAGTACATATCCTTGCCCGTCATCCCCGATACGCCAGGCGGAGAGTATCCTCCAGTTGTCCCAGCTCGTGCAACGTCGGATGTGTCCGGTGCAGCGCTATCAGACATATCTGTTCCCCCAGCGTTATCGCACGTATCTGTTCCTCCGGCGCAGTCGTACATCCCG